TTTTTACATTTATTGAGAATTATTTTGTGGCCTAACATGGTCTATTTTGGAGAATATTCCATGTGTGCTTGAGAAGAGTGTAGATTCTGCTGTTGTTGGGTAGATTGTTTTATGTATGTTTGTTAGGTGTAGCGAGTTTATAGTATTAAAATCTTCTCTTTCCATATGGACCTTCTGTTTCGATGTTCCAGTCATTATTGAAAGCGGTGTATTGAAGTCTCCAACTATTATTGTAAAATTGTCTGTTTCTCCCTTCAGTTCTGTCAGTGCTTGCTTCATATATTTTGGGGTTTTGTTGTTTGGTGTATATATGTTTATAATTGTTATATCTTTTTGATAAATTGACCTCCATGACTAGTTTAGAATTAGATTATCGAGATTCCGTTCTCCCTTTAGTACTCCCCGTTGGTTAAACCTAATAGGAAACCAGTTGACAAAAGAGTGAGAGGTAATTTGCAGAGTCTAAGCCCCAGAATTATGAAGCAGATTATAGAAGAGTGGACTTGTGGTTGAGGCTTTTGGTTTACTCACAGGTACTAAATAGCTTCCCTGTTTTTGGTGTGTGGACTTTGATTAGGTCTAGATGAGCAGTCAGTGGAGCAGTCTATGAGGGGCCGCTTTGCAGAATTGGAGTTGAATAGCTAGCAGCCCACCTCAGGCAAAATGGATGCCTGTTGGACTGGGCTTTTTCTTGGAGAGCTTTCTAGTCTCTTTCAGGCAATGGTTTTGAACTGGGTAAACGATCAGGAGGACTTCTCTCCAGGAATGACTGAGGCAGGCCCTCTCGGCCTGTGCTGGAAGTTATAGCAGTTCTCAACTCAGGCATGTGAATAACCTTGCAGGAGAGCAGGCTGCATAGGTTAGTGCATCGCTAGGTCCTAGGTCTCTTTCCGGATTCCTGAAAGTACCTTCTATATGAGCGAGTAATAGTATATAGTAACTATGGCAGGTTGACTGCCTTCCTATATTCCATCTTGTTCTCATTTATGCCACATTCAGAATAACTCGGAGTTTTAAGCATGCAGGTGGGACTCCTCTATTTTTCAGTGGTGTTGGTGGTGGGTGGGGGAAGAGTCAGAATTTTCCATTCTACATTGGTTGAATTACCTTGGCAATCGAGAGGGAACGAGTCAAAGGCATGCGCTTAGGTCACAGTCTCAGAGTATTTCTTCCATTTGCATTAAAAAGACTTGTAGGAGAGGAATCTTGGATACAGACAGGAGAAACCAACTGTAATGCACTTATAATAGGTATTTATTGGAAAGATATTCGTTAGCTTTCGGAATTGACATGAAGTCTGTAAAACTAGGCTGAGAAGCTAGTCAGGCCGTAAAGGAAGACGGGTATGCGGAACCTGTGAAGGTTAAGAAGCGGTTAGGGTCATTGTCTGTGCTGCTAGTCACTGAGCACTGGTTACGGCTTTGCCACCTTTGGACACTAGATTCCTCTGCTTTCTGAACGGTTCCTAAAATTGAGTCTTTGTTTCTTTATGTCACTTACTTCAGATCTGTAGCTCCAGCCAGAGCATCTGATTGCCTAAGTGTAGGTCATAGGGCCTAGCCTTGCCGTTAGACAATGGACAGATAAAATACCTTAAACTTTTTGGCTACTATAGGAAGAGAAGGGATTCTGCTACCAAAATACTGGTGAATTCCTAAATTTAGGTAGGGGCTTACATATTAACATCTTAATAAATGTAAAGTAAACTGAAAAGAACCCAAAGTTTTGTTGGGGATGAAGTTCTTGCTTGTGCTGTGCCATTTAGAAATGTAGATATAAATAGTCTCCCTATACTCTGCCTTTCCAGCACTTTTTGTGCAGTGGTTTAAAACAGGGGCCACTCCTGCTCCCCTTCGAGGGATCTTGAAAACATCGGGGTATTTTTGAGTTGTCGCAATGAAGGGGGAAGGGTGACGCTATTGCCATTTTGTAGGTGGGGGCCAGGAATGCTGACCACTCTGCACAACAGAAAATCGAATTATCCTGCCTAAAATGAACGTAACATTTGAGAAACTCTAGGTTACTGGATCATCTTAATGAGGGCTACGCATTAACACTGGCCTCCTTTCCTCCACTGTCTGTTCTCTATAGCTTGAGCATTATTTCTCACTTTCTTGTTTTACTTCTGGTCTCTTTCCTTAGTTCAAGGGACTTGTTTCCTTTTCAAGACCCCTTGAAATTTAAAATCCGCCTCCAACACCATATATAAAAATTAACTCAAAATGGATTAAAGACCTAATGTAAGAGCTAAAACTGAAGTTCTTAGAAGAAAACTTAGTGGAAAAGCTTCCATTAAGCTTTGTATTGTATAATTGGCAGCAATTTCTTGGATATGGCACTAAAAGAATAGGATAAAAAAAATAGATAAGTTGGACTTCATTAAAATTAAAACCTTCTGTGCCATCATTAGTTTGTGGACTTTAGGGCTTGGAGCTGAGGATAGGGGACTGTCTTAGTCTGCTCGGGCTGCCATAATGAAATGCCAAAATACCATGGACTCAGTGGCTTAAATAACAGAAATTTATTTCTCACAGCTTTAGAGACTAGAAAGTCCAAGGTCAAGGTCCAGCAAGGTTCAGTGTCTGGCTTGCAGGTGGCTACCTTCTAGCCACATCCTTGCATGGCCTTCCCTTTGTGTTTGGGGTGGGGCGAGAGGAGGTGGTGTGGGGCCAGGGGATGGGGGAAAGTTCTAAAGAGAAAGGCATGTTTCTCTCTTCCTCTTATAAGGCCATTAATCTCATCATGAGAGCCTCACTCTTATGACCTGATCTAACACTCATTACTTCCCAAAGGCCCCATCTCCAAATACCATCATGTTCGGGGTTACAGTTTCAACATAAGAATTTTTAGGGACACAAACATTCAGTCTAAGAGATAATGTCTTAGGGAGAAACCAAAAAAAAAAAAACAGACCTCAGAAACAAGTTGTCAGTGTTAGAAATTTGGATCTGGATTACTTAGTAACCTGGTAAAGGCCGACCATTTGTATTTTGATACAAGTTGAGAAAATACAGTTGGATGATGTCAACCAGGAAGAGTATATAGAGTAAGAAGGGAAGCGAGGGTGGAATACAACATTGGTAAAGCCAACGATCAACACGTTGTTGGAAAGGCAGGTCCGAGGAAGAAGGAGTTGCAAAGGAAGGATGAACAGTTATCAGTTAACTGTGGTGGATGCAAGTGTGATGTGTGGTTATGGGAAGTGGCAACGGCAAGTGTAGCAATCTGAAAAAGTATCGCGATGAAGGAAGGAAGGGGGACACCAGTGAAGGTGGAGGCAGTTTTGAGGGAAGGCTTTACTTATCTGGTTGTTTATTTTTTAAGGATGGGTGAGACTTCGTGTTCGTAGGTGAACAATAAAGCTCTACTGGAGGGAGAGAGTAAATGTAAAGGGGATATGTGTGTATATTCACCCAAATCTTTGCCAAAGAAGATTTCAGTGTAATTTTATGTATCCTCATGTAATTGAGGATTGTATTTGTCCTTCACAATGTTTCCAAACATGATTTATTTAGATACTCTAATTGGAGAAGGAAATCTATCACTTGGTTAATTTATTTCTGGGAAATCAACCCTCAAATGCTAATGAGAGCCTCAGGGAAAGAACATCTAGGATGGAGAGTGGCTCCGTTCAGATTAGGTTATTTACGAGCTGTAACAATCACAAAATAATGGTGGCTTAAGTCAGGTAGAAGTTTATTTCTGATCATATGAATTCTGTGGAGGCAGTTTCAACAAGGGAGGCTGAGAAATAGATTTTTTATTTAGCAGGATCCTGTGCTTATCAAAAATTAAAGAAGAAGGGAAAAAAGATAATGAGAGATGCGCGTTAGTATCTCTATAATAAGAGACAAACTGTTAAGTAAAATTTATTTCTTACGTGAAAGGCAGTGTTTGCCCGGTGTTTAAAAAGTCAAAATGCATGTGTACCTAGGCTCTCTACTTATAAGCTCTGTGACCCTGAACAAATTACGTATTTTTTTCTCTTTGTGCTTTACTATTGCATAAGATAGAGAACAGTGTTTAATAGTGGGTACCTCATAAATTGGTATGAGAATTAAGTAAGCTAATTAATTGACTAAACCAATGGCTTATATATCTAAGCCACAGCAGTGATTTGTTTTGTTGTCATTTGCTTATGCTTTTCAAGGACCCAGGGTGTGTGGAAGGTGACTCTAGTGACCATTGAGTTAGATGTTTACCCTCGAAGTAGTCATCCTTGGTGCTTTGGAAAATAGTAACTAGGACTCCTGTATTCATTCACGTGGATTGGGGTGGAGGTGGAGGTAGATTGAGCTTTCACAGAGTAGGGTAGAAAAACTGGTAGATGTCGTCTGCGGTCGTGGTTTCCGACATTCATGGGCATCATACAGACCTGCTGAA